TACTCCTGCCAAATCCTATTCATTAAAACTAATCACAAGGCCGGTTCATATTAAGAAGGAGGTGACTGTTCAATGTGAATACTGGGGTGCCTGGTTCACCGGGGCCACCAATGTAACAGGCTACTGTAGTGTCCTTAAATAATTCTTTCTGTGAGAGTTAGGGATGGCCAATTCTTTACATTTGTCTGAAAATGTCTTTGAACTGCCCTCACTCTTTAATGAACGAAATGATGATGTCCTATCCCTTTTAGTTTTCACATTACAAATATTTCCAACATACTATCCCTCTATTGACTTTACTTATGGGGTTGTTCATAGTTTATCAAGTTTTCATCTATGGGTTGTGCCTTGGTTGCTTATGATGAGTTTTCCTACTCCTAGATCACAAAAATATTCTCCTGTATTTTCTCCTCTTGATTTTATAATTTTACCTTCTGTAACTATATCTTTAACTCTAGATTCCACCTTTATTTGCAGTATTAAACACAGGACCTATTCCATTTTTCTACATGGACTGAAGTTTCCTGGGTGCCAACTACTGAGCAATCAATACTCCCATAGTTGTCTTGTGGAACCTCCTTAATCATGTCTTAGGGTTCACTATTTAAATGGGTTTGTCTCTGAGCCCTGTTCCTTAGGTCAGTTTTCAGTTGGTCAGTGCTGAAATGTTTTCATTATATGGATTTATTGTTTGTCTTAATATCTAATAAGTAAAGTTCCCCTTCTTTGCTCTTTCTTTTCAGAGTTGATCACTGTATTTATGGACCTTTATTTTTCCATTTAAACTTTGGAATTCATGACATTTCTCAAAGTATCCAGCTAGAGTCTTGACTGGGTTGTATTGACATTATACAAAGGAAAAATTGCCACCTCTGTAGTAACATGCTATATGCCCTTCTATCTAAGTGTATGAAATGTCTATTCAGTTCTGCTTTTCGTTTAAGTTAAAAAGTTCAAAATACTTTTCTATAGAAATCTTCTGAATTCTTTGTTAATTTCTAGAAACTTTATACTATGTAGATTTTGTTCCTACTGAGAATGTATCTTATTTTTCATTTCTAGTGGGTTACTATTATTATAGCAGAATGTTTTTGATTTTTATACACTTATCTGCTTACCTTGCCACACCCTTATTCTCATAATTTAATAATTCTAGTGGTTTTTCTATTCGGGTAATTATATCACCTACAAAAGGAGTCTTTTCTTTTCCTTTACAATCATTATACTACTTTTTTTCTTTTTTTAATAATATTCACCAGGATCTCCATTAATATGTTAAACAGCAGAATTTTAGTATTGAGTGTTATGGGTGTAATACTTATTTTTCTGTTCTTTAGTCTTTTTAAGGACACAAAATGTTTAATTTTCTTCTATATACCTTAGGCACCCTTCTTGATTTATTTTTATTCTTGAGTTCTTCCTCTAGGAATTTTTCAAAGTTGGATTGTTTTGGGGGGAAATATTTCAAGACCTTTTTTTTTTTAACACTTCCTGATTTTACTTTTTTAAATTTATTTATTTTTTGTTCAAATACATGTGTCTCCACCTTCCCACCACCACTCTCCCCTGTCCCCCTCCTCCACCTCCCTCCCTCAATCCTCAAGACCTTCTTTTCCTCCCAATATTTTTTATTGTGGCTTCAGAGTTAAATGACAGTTTAGTTGGATATAATAATTCTAGGCTCAAAGCTCTTTTCCCTTTAATATTTTAAAAATATTAAATCAATTATCATTGTATCCAATGTTTTGAAATTTGATATAAATCTGCTTCTTTTTTGTTGGTAACCTACCTCTCCTCTTTGAAAGCACTTAGAATTTTTCTTTGTCTCAAATGACCTTCAATTTCTCTATAAATGTCTTACATGTGAGTTTTTCCTTATCTACCTTGCCAGACTGGGAAGAGAGTGAGGCAAGTAAGAAGTAAGCGCCCCTTTAATTTTGCCTCCCACCTGCCTTGCTTACTGCTGGCCCTGCTACCTGCCTGGTAATCTGTGAGCCCTTTCAATCTGAGGTCTTTGAACTTTAATTCTTCAATATTTATCATCATCATTTCTTCAAATATTTCCTTCTATTTCTTCTTCTAATCTCCTGAATTCTCCTGGTGGTACTTCTACTGTCCATGTCTCTTAGCTTCTGTTTTATATTTTTATTTCTTTATCCTTTCCTGCTGCCTTCTGGGAGAGCTTCTCAGTCTGGTTTTCTATTTCATGAATCTTGTTATTTATCTCATCTTTTCTTTTTTAATTATTATTTTTATTTCTAGTATTTCATGTGATTCTTTTTTTACGACCACTAATTCTCTTTTCATAAAAATACCTTCTATATCTTTGAGGATGTTTGTTATGCTTATTTTAATTCTCAGTGCACAGATTCTAGTAATGCTGCTTCGCATAATATATATTTTAAATTTTGTTGTCTTTCTTTTATAGCATCCATCTAGTTTATTTTAGGTCATGTTTCCTGAGGGGAATCAGCAGCCCTGTGTAGGCAAAGGCTAAAGACAGGGACTGGCTTGTGTGCCTCCCACTGAGTTTAAAGAAAGAAAATAAAGGTCAGGCTGGAGAGCGTCAGTCCCCACAAACCCAATGTTGACCATCCTCACTTGTCACTGCTCTAGACCAGTCCTCAAGTCAGGACTCTACTTCTTTTCCCGTTAAACTCTTAAAAAGAGGCACCACTGAGAGAAGGGCATCTCTTAGTATTTTTCATCCCCCAGCACTGATGGCTACTAGGGGAATGGTGGAGGAAATGCCTAACGGGGAGGCATACATCTTTTTTTTTGATCACCTTCTTACCCAAAGGGACTTCTGTGCTGTTCCGATGTTACTGAATTGCCAACAGATGGCTACACAGTTTCTGCCGGTTTCTGCAGCCCTGTGGCAAGCAGTGATCTCCCCAAGGCAATGTGGGGGGAATCAAGAGCTGATTTCAAAAGCTTTCCTCCACCTCTTCTCTGTTGGCTGCATCTGACCTCCCTACCCTCCTGCAAGCTGCCACCAACCCTTTCTAGCGGTTCACTGATGCCTTACAGATTTGTGGTACTTCATCGCATTCATGCTTCTCCCTTCCATGGCTTCCCCTTTTGTCAGGACACCGAAGAGTTGGCTCATGTCTGACTTTGACCCCCGTGTTTTAGAGACTTTTTGTCTTCAATCCTCACAATTATGAAAGCAAATTATTATTACTCCTATTTTTAGAGAAAATGGAATTGAGTCTCAATGAAGGTTTAAGTGACGTAGTTCCAAGTCACACAGCTAGGAAATGTGGTAGAGCTGGAATGGGAAAACACGTCTATCTTATCCCAAAGCCCAGGCCTGGGAAACTTCATTAACCCCTGCTGAGTAAAACCTAAATTTAGAGCTGCTTTATTTCACTCAAAAAGTTATCAAACTGTGTTTCTGAGAACACTAATGTTTTATGAGCTGGACCAACACATTCACCCCCAAAACTGGTAATCTTTTCGCAATTGGTGGAAAAAAGTAGTCATGGTTAGAATTTTCAATGTTTTAGTTGTCTACAAATTTCAGTCCAATCTTTGGCACCTACTCTTCTTTTGTGTGCTAGCGAGTATTAAAAGAAAGGTAATGATTAAGTAGGAAATGAGATTTGACTATCTGATCTCAATTGGAAATCAAGGAGTGTTACCAATTAGCTTTTTTTTTTTTACCTACTAACTGGGAAAAGATTGTCATTTCATATCAGGTAATATATATTTGAACACTCATTCTTGCTGGTAACATTAGTTTATATCAATGTTTGAATATTGAATTGAATTCATGAATGCTTAATAAATGTGAATTTACTAACATATTTTCCCTTTATGTATATCCTCCCTAATTTTAAAGACATGATTTAAAAATTTAAAATTTTACATTTTAACAGTTAATTCATGCATACAGTACAAAATTCAAATGCTACAATAGGATATACAGTGAAAGTGAATCTACCTTATTCAGTCAGCCAATTCTCTCTCCATACAAAACCATTGTTGCCAGTTTCTTGTTATCATTTCATAGATATGGTAGGTGTACCTAAGGTCTTATGTACACATTTTTTATAAAACAGGGAATTTTCAAATTTTAGGCTTGATAGAATTTTAAGCCACTAACTTGGGAATTACCCGGTCTCCTTACATAACCCTGAATGCTAAAAATAAAGTGAGTTTTAAAAATTATTTCAAGTACTAGCTTTGACTGGTGTGTCTCACTGGTTTGAACATTGTCCTGCGAACTGAGAGGTTCTGGTTCGATTCCTGGTCAGGGCATAAGCCTGGGTTGCAGGCCATACTTCTGGCTGGGGCTGTGTGAGAGGCAACTGATCGATGTTTCTCTCGCACATCAGGGTTTCTCTCCCTCTCTTTCTCCCTTCCCTTCTCTATACAAATAATAAAACCTTTAAAGATTATTTAAAATACTAAATATAGAGCAGAGAGACCAATATATAAATCCTTATTTGTCTATCACCCAAAATTGGCTTGTTTAAGAGTCAGAGTTTAATACTCTTGCAATTTCCTGAGTTTCTGACAATGAGAAATAAAAAGAATTAGGTTTTCAACTGCAGCAGCCCCAGGGCCCTCCAGTTCATTCGGGTGGTGCTAGCTGGGAACACCTTACGCCTACGTCTCTCATAGCTTTTCTAGGTGTAAAAATAAATTGAAAAATATATTGTACTTATACTTTTCTCAAAACTTTGGTTGGTGTCTGTGTAAAAAGTGTACCTAACATTTTTAAAGCCATTATTGCATTAATATCAGTTTTTTAATTACTAGTAATTGCACACATGGGGCTAATTTGGTGGTTTCAATTTGGTCCCTTTCATAGAAAAAGGAATGCTGAATCCCTTACATGTATTACTTAGATGTGTGTAAGTAACCTTGTACTTAAAAGAACTTAGTTTCATTAGCATTTTTGATAAAGCATGAATATTATGAATGCTGATTTTATATCCATCCACAAATCTAATTTTTGTCCTGACTTCACAAAGCTCATTTTTTCCCCTTAGTTCCACTTGCTTGTCCTGATGCATCTGCAGAAGTTCAAAAGAATTTTATAGAACGTATCTCTTTTATACATCAATATGATGCCCGGAAAACTCCCAATGAGCCTATCAGGGGCAAGGTGAGACAGAACTTAGAATCAATTATTTAATACTTTAGGAAGGGATATATTTATGTTAGAACTATATTTAAGCCTTTTCAAGTCATAAACACCTTTCTCAAAGTCTATTTAAACAAGTTAACATGGTTATTAGTATGAGAAAATTTCAACCATGTCATAGTTAAAACTAAGGAGTGATGTCATAATTTTGGATCTCAGTCTTTGGAATTTGGTTTAAATAATTAAAATCGTTTGCTTAAAGAACGAAGCCGCAGTTTGATAACTTTTTGATATGCTTATGTGTGGGTTGCAGGGGGATCAAACAGAAATGCAACTGTCAGTTCCTGGGTTTTCTCCAACTACGAATGTTTGTTTTCATATTTCACTGTAACTAAGTCTTTTGTTGGAAACTAACAGACATTTAGGGTGCAATGATAAATCCTCAGGTCTATGAACTGTAGTTTCTATTGTATCCATAGCAACCCACAGAGCAAGAAATGAGAATTGATATGACTAGTCTTATACAAGCCATATGAGAGCAAAGTTGAGAAGGTGAAATAATGAGATGCTGCGTCTGTGACTTTCTGCTTTTCCCTTCCTGTTCATTTTCAGGTGTACTCTATTTTATAATTTGTTTAAAAGGTTCACCAATAATTACCATGGACTAAGGTGACAGCCAGTGAAGCAATAGAGACCTAAGTGGCTGAATCACCAGGTCTTGATCTAACACATGAATTCAGTTCATAGTTCCAGCAACTTGTGCTCCCTGGTTAATGTCAACTTTGTTTTCCTTTCCAGAGACATGGAGCCTTTATTCAGGCAGAGGTAAAACTAGGGAGTGGGCCAAGAGTTCCTAAGGGAACAGAGGTATTGCTGAATGCTCCGGGGTCATGTGCATCAGAGCAGTCCGAAAAAACAGAGAAAGGAAATTCAACAGAAAGCAAAATGATCTCACCGGGTCTCTGCCGACAAAATTCCCAAGAGCTGATAGAGACTGAAACTCACTTATCAGAAACAGACGTCAGAGTGGCAGCCAAGGCATGCCCCAGAAGTCCTGAGAGAAGGGGGAAGGTTGCCGATGTCTTTCAAACAACTGCAGCAGATGCTCCGATCACCAGGCACAACCCCTCAAGTCCACCAATAAAAAGTCAGGATAAATTATCTTCTTCAGATAAAGACATAATCCTCGGAATGTAGAGAAATTTCACAATCATCATATAGGCCCTTGCATTTGCTTTTTCTCTTGCTAATTACCTCAGAACATACAATTTAAATAAATGAGAGAATAAAAGAAAGACAATTACAATATACCAAAATTTCAAGAGTGGTCTCCAATGAGTGGTGGATTATGAGGCATATTTCTATGTCATACTTTTTAAAGATTTTATTTATTTTTAGAGAAGGGAGGGGAGAAATAGAGGAAGAAAAACATCAGTGTAAGAGAGAAACATCAATTGGTTGTCTCTCATATGCACCCCGACTGGGGACCGAACCTACAACCTAGGCATATGTCCTGACCAGGAATCCCAGTGACCTTTTGTTTTGTGGGATGACACCCAACCAACTGAGCCACACTAGTCAGGGTTCTATGTCACATTATTTATAAATAAATACCATTGACTTTTTAGAAGAGAGGCCTTTTAGATAGTCATTAATTATGGCTCTGGAATCAAACAAACCTGGGTTGGAATTTTGGCTCTGCCATGTATGAGTTGTGTAACCTTGGGTAAATTACTTAACTTTTCTAGGATTTGGGTTCTTCATCTGTAAAATTAGAATAATAGTGATCTCATAAGGTTATTGAGCATGAGAGTATGCACATTGATCAATCAGTGACCCAGGTAATCACATCATCACTATTACTATAATTAAATTTCATTTTAAGGAGGATGTTTTTCAGCAAACTTAACATTTCCTCCTTATTCTAAAACTCTGAATCCCTCTATATGTAATTAAGAGTGTGAAAATCTAAGAACATCTCTTCCAGTACAAACCACACACACTTACACACACACTTAGTTCAAAGGCATATGGGTATTTAGAATATCAAAATATTTTCTAAATTGTGTTCTATTTTGCTTAGATCATTTCTGGCACTGACTCAGCCTTTGCTTTTTTGGATGAGTTAAGTGCGGTTCTTTCTACCAGCTATGCTATTCGGTACAGGTGGTGTGCCGGAATGCAGCTGCTAGAAATGATATTCTGCCACACACAGGTGGAGGTAGGTAAAGTATTCCTCTGTTCGCCGAAGTATTTACAAGCTCCCCCAAAATGTCCCTGGAAATATACCAGTTGCACCCTATTATCTGTACTATCAGTAAGACCAGGTGTATCTTTATCTCTTTTTTCCTCCACTACAGCAATTTTACCAGACAACAGACAAATGAATACCATTATTATACATTTGTGTATTGGGCACTTCCAATTCTTACATAACAGATTAAGAATATTAATGAACCTCTTTCATTACAAACACTTTGAAATGCTGAAAAAAATGAAACAACAAATATATAGCCAAGCTCCCAAAACAAAGTCCTCATGTTCCAAAATAGAGAATTTATTTGTGTATCAGTATATATCTTGAAGATCTTTGTCAACATATGTAGACCACTCATTATTTTAATAGCTGCATAGTATTCCATAGTATAAATATACTCTATAATTAGAGCAATAAGAATGAAAGCTTTGGTGCATGTGTGGAAAGGGGGTAGCATTTGTTAGCAGATTGGAAAGAGGTCTTAAAGGCTAGGAACTTGAATTTTAATCTGCCCTGGAACATCAGTGGAAATTTATGACATCCAAAGTAGAGAGCTGGAATTGAAGCCTGCATAAAACTAGATCCCTCAAATCGCTAGCCTATAGGTACAGGCAGACTAGAATAACTCCACTCATACAATCGGGCAGACAGCAGGACAGTTTGCCTCTGCCCAGAACTACAGTTAGTGAATAAATTTTTGTTAGAAAGTACAGCCTCAAGCTTGTGTCATATTCCAGTTTGGAATTTGAATATATATGCAGGATATCTCATTGGACACAAAATCAGCACAAGAATTAATCCTGCTGGTGATAACACTAAGGTGCTCAAAAAGATAAGGTCACAAACAAAAATTACAAATTGCACAAAGAAGATGATCAAACTGAGCAAGAGTTTGCAGTAGAACCAAGAGGATGATTCAGACCTCAAAAGTGGAGGTAACAAACGGAATTCAAACACTTGCAGTTTGAAGATTCTTGTCTTTCTCCCACTCTGGAAAAGTTTGTTCTCTAGTCTGTCTTTTTTCTATTATTTCCATCCCTTTCATTCTCTCTCTTCTTTCCTTCTTAAACAGCTACTAGCTGAATGATGGAAAACTTGGATTTATCTTCTATGCCTCTTAACTTTTTTCTCCTCCTTCTCCTGGTACTTTACCACTAAACAATGCAACAGCCCCATGAACAAACTTTCTCCTAATTTGCTTTCCAGCCATGTCCATTATTATGCCAGGCCATCTATTGAAATGTACAAAACTTCAGTATTCTATTTTAAATTTTGAAGATCCATGCACCCTTCTTATATACCTAAATACATAATTTAAATACTTGAATTCTTAAATACATAAGTCTCTTCCTATAATACAGATATGTGAGCCTCTCTTACCCCTTAGAATATTACAAGTCTTCTGTTTCCTTTCTTAAGTCTATTAATTTTTGTTTGTTTAGTGCAATGCCTCACTTCCTTGGTATTGTACCTTTTTCTTAAATGCTGAGTAATTCTTGGTTGTATACTTTTCTTTGATTATGAGATTTCCAGATCCCTATCAGTATAAGCTGTTTCTGTCCATTATAGCCTGACTTTGGGACAGAGTTGGGATATGCAGTCAGATAGGATCTGCAGATGATTTGTCTGACAGGGTCTTTTGTCCTCCTGGAGGTCAGCAGCTACTCAGGCATTGCTTTGCTTTTTCAGGCCCAGAGTCTGATTCAGTTCCCACCACAGCTGCTAGTGCTTAGCACAAACAGAACAGGGAGGGGATGACTGATTTGATGCTCCACATACTGTTTTCTAAGTTCTCAAATTGACAAATGCCCAGAGTCCCTTCTACTTCTTCATATTCATTGACTCTCAGCATACAGTTCTAGAAGGCCTACTTCCATGGCAGCCATCTCTACACGTGCCAGATTTTGTTTCATTTAGTTTTGTTCCTACACACGTTTGTTCTTGTTAATATCTTTAATTAATTAAAAATGTGATTCTTCTGAGAGTAAGTTTCCCTGCTTTTCAATGCGATTAAATTCTATTTTCTTATCTATATCTACCTATATGTATTTTTATAGGCAATGAGCTGTAGATGTGTGCCTGCCATTTTGAGTCAATCTCTAATTTCCTTTTAAGTAAATCATTTGCAAACTTTGTACTTTAACCATTAGTAAATAAACTCTCTGCAATAGGCCTCACAGTTTCCTGACAAACATCACTGAGAACTGACATAGTTCTTTTTCCTAGAGAATATGATTTAGTGAGAGATGAAGGATCTGGGGCCAAATAGCCTAGTTAGTGGACCACTACCACAGGCTACATTGGTGGTTCTCAACATTTAAAAAAAAAAAAGGACATCTTTTCTGCATTAAAAAAGATATTTATGGTCTCTCACAAAATGGTAATAAAACTTTCAGTATTCATTGTTTGTAAAAACACATAATAACAAAATGCAATGATGATTTCCAGGTTCAAGTCTCTGTTTTTTAACTGCTAAGGTTATATCTCTCTATGATGAATTTCGTAGTCCATTAAAGTTATAACAGCCTGTCAGTACAGATAGTGCTCTTAAATTTCACAAGAAAAATATTTTTCAAGTACAGTAATTCCCTTATTAGGTATTTTAATAGAATAATACCCTTTACTGAGATACAGGATATTTTTTCAGCCTACCAAACCAAACCAAACAAAAAACATGATCTTTCATGTAATTTAATATTTTAAGAATACCTTAACAAATGTGCTAATGGTTTTCAACCCTTAACATTGCTCTTACTAGTACCATAAATTTGTATAATGTTTTAAGCTTTAAAGCATTTTCAAATCTGTCATCTATTTCATTTGATCCTTATAAAAAGCCTATGAGCAGAGCAAATAATAATATCCCAATTTTATAGCTAAATATAGGCTCAGAGAGCTTCATTGATTTTCCCAAGTTTGCAGTTAGCAAGTAATAAAACCAGAACCAGAATCTTAGTTTCTCAATGCCCAGTCCATTTACTCATATTTCCAAATGTCAACCAATAGGACAATGCTGGCCCATTACAAATGAAAAAACAAGGCCAGTATAAGAAGTATCAAGAAAATAATTTTAACACTTTTATTGAGAGATTATCATTTTACTCCTTTTGGGGATTTTAGACGCTCTCTGTTAGACTTCTTAACACTACAATGGACTAAGTACATTTAGGAAGCACCCATCATTCCTAACATAGATAATTGTTCATTAAAATACAACAAAAACATTTGAAATGTACAACTAAGCACTAAATAAGAAATTGAAATCCTTAGGTGCCAGAAACGACGAAAATACTAACATGGTGAACAAGAGGTGAGGCTAAACAGGCAACTGGAGAAATGGAATCTGAAGTTGAACTTAGGGGCAGGGGTATTAATCTCTGAGCTGGAAAGGGAGATGAGGCCCCATGTGCCATGGGCTGGAGCTAAACATAGAGCCAGTGTTAGAGGAGCTTTGCTGCTGTGAAAAGGACTCTAGAATATCTCCTCCCATTAGCCTAAGAATTTGGGGAGGAAGCAAATTGATTATCACTCAGATGGCATATCTCCCAAACTGTACACAGAAGTGGGAGTCAATGTGCCTTCATGAGTAGTGTCAGTTTCCAAGCCAAGAAAGCAACAGAAAAACTGATTTGTACCATGGAAACATGAAAGACACTAGTAGAGATAAATACAAACCTGACCCATACTAACACTTTAAAATCCTGGGTACGTGAGCCACCATGGAAGGAAATGCCCACGATGAGATGCAAAAAAAAAAACAAAACAAAACACACACACACACACACACACACACACACACATAAAATTTTAAGAAAGGGGGTTAGAATTCATGCCCCAAGAATTACAGACAATAGAGCAAACAGACTGTATTGCAAACAGGCATAAAAAGATTAAAGGCATAAAAGAGACTTCCAGCCAAGACAGAGGCATAGGTAGGTAC